TTTAGGTTGGAAAACACTTTTAAGACCACACTGCCAATACCACTACTAAACCATGTCCCTGAGCACCACATTGACATGTCTTCTAAATACCTCCAGGGTTAGTGACTCAACCACTTCCCTGGGAAGCCTGTTCCAATGCTTGGTAACCCTTTCAGTGAAGAAATTTTTCCTAATATCCAAACTAAACCTCTCCTGGCATAATCTGAGGCTATTTCTTCATGTTCTATTGCTTGTTACTTGAGAGAAGAGACTGAGACCCACCTCACTGTAACCTCCTTTCTGCCCCCAAAGTCAGACAGATAGGTCAATAGTTTCCTGGATCCTCTTTCTGGCCCATCTTGTAGATGGGTGTCAGATTTGCTAACCTCCAGTCAACTGGAACCTCCACAATTAGGCAGATCTGCTGATGGAGGATGGAAAGTGGCTTGGTGAGCAATTCCATCAGCTGCCTCAGTACCCTTGTGTGGATCCCATCTGGTCCCATAGACTTGTGTGTATGTCTAAGTGGTGTAGCAGGTTACTAACCATTTCTTGTTGAATTATGGGGGCTTCACCCTGCTCCCCATCCGTCTTCTGGCTAAAGGGGCTGAGTACCTGGAGAACAATTAGTTTTACTATTAAACACTGAGGCAAAGAAGGCATTAAGTACCCCAGCCTTTTCCTCATTTTTAGTCGCTATGTTTCCCCTTGCATCCAGTAAAGGATGAAGATTCTCCTTCACTATCCTTTTGTTGTTAATGTGTTTATAGAAACATGTTTTATTAACTTTTACAGCAGAGGCCAGATTAAGTTCTAGTTGGACTTTGGCCCTTCTAATTTTCTCCCTGCAAAACCTCATGACATCCTTGTAGTCTTCCTGAGTGAAGTAGTTATACATATATATACATATATAGAGAGATAAAATTTAAATTATGCAAATCAAAACATTGCAACAAGTGGATTTTTGGCTTCAGACCACCTCCAAAAGTCAGTAGCTATTGTAGAGTCCTTAGGTGTTCATGGAGCCAGACAAGAGAAGGTCAAAAACCTGAATGAGTACAGTAGCAAGATACTGCCCAAATGTTTTTCCCAAATGAAATACATAAATACTATTACAGCTCTGTGAATAGCTAACTTGTGTTTAAACTCAGTTGTCAAAACACAACTTCATCTATTTTGAGTCATATTTAAAACTAAACTTCAAAAGATGGCTTAACTTAGCATCTGAAGATGAGGATGCAGTTTTTTTGTATGCAATTTACTGAAGTCATAGTTTTTTTCAAAATTTTGTGACTTCAGATTTTAATATGATCATAGCTATGTCAAGAAACTTGAAACAGTGAGATAATACTTCTTCATTGCCAGAACTTTTCCTCTTCTTTTAAATACAATTTCTTGTCCACACAGAAAAAAAAAATTTGAATTTTTACTTATTCACTGCTGATTTTTTGATATCCCCTCACCAGGTCATAATACAATTCATAGCACTTTAGTTACTTAGCAAGTAAACAAAGAACAACATTATTTGTCTGTATGCTTGGAAATGCTGAAATGATAGTTGCTTTGCTCAAAAGTGAAAATAGAATTGTCAGTATGGTAATGATATGTTATTTATCCATAAAAAAATAATTTCTTTTTTTCTTCAATAGATTGCTTGGCTTCTACAAAGGAATATTTCCTCCCATCTTGGCTGAGACACCCAAAAGGGCAGTGAAGGTAAAAACCCCTCCTTTAAAAATATGAGTAGGGATGACAGCTGTAAAATATTTTCTTTCTTCCTCACTGATTGACATTAGAATCTTAAACTTATTAGGGATATTAATCCTCTAATTTATCCTAGGAGTAAACTTTCTTGTTTATAGCACAATAAATATGTGCTTGATTTAGTGGCACATTAGATAGAGATAAGGCACTTAAATTCCAGGCTGGTTTTGACCTGTATATATATATTGTTACTGAAAACCAAATTACAATTAGTTTATGCAATCAAATTAATAAAATACTTTGTGATATTTTAGCATCACAATTACCTCTGGTTTAGACATTTTGTTTTACTGAAAATGCCTAGCAACTTGCAAAACAACTAAAACTAGCTTAATAAATTTAACACAAGAAGCCATTAAAGAAGCCACTTCTAATCAGTACTTACTCAGTAACTTGAAGTAGTATATCTGTAGGTTTGAAGTGCTGCCCAGAGTTTTCTTGTACTCTAAGGAGCACCCTACTCCTTACACTCACTTCTGTACAGATTGAATATCATAATGAGTACAGTTCTTCATCATGCACAGAACATCTTACTCCAGCTCTCTTATGTTTGAAATAGATACTAGCCTATCAAAGTGCATTTGCTGTCAAATGTTGATCTGATTTTCTTTTGTTATCCTTTATGTTGATTCGTAGAGCATTATTTTAGTAACATTCCTAAGTAAAATGCATCAGCACATCATTTTTTTTTTCAGTTAAGTCATGCAACCTTTTTCATTAAAACCTAGTAATTAAGCACTTCATCTTAAAGTTCTAAACCTGTCAAAGCATCCATTGTGTTACAAGCAAATGTTTCTTTGTCTTTCACTTCAGGACTTTGTAGTGTCCCGTAGTTACACCAAACGTGTCTAAAAGCAGTTATTATACAGAATGTGTTGATTTTCCTTTCTTTCTTTTTTTGTTTCTTTCTAAAAAGGCTGCATATGATTCTGGTCCTTAGTCTGCAATTAATCATTCACATTCCAGTTCCTTTACAGAGGAATAATATTTGTATTAAGTGACAGGATGTGACCTTGTAACAGAATCCTAAAGGAGTTCTGGTAATGTCATCTTCTTGTTTGCACTGGCATTTTAGATGCAAACGACATATGTCACCTATCTCAAAATTATTTAATACAGCTAAGAAAACTCAAGTTCTATTTAATAGCAAAGTGGCAGTGAAGTATAGATGGATGATATTTAGAAGATTCCTAATAAATTGTTTTCTTTGGACTGTGATGGTTCCTCTGTCTCTCCCATTCATTTGAAACAGGTCAAAGTCAATCAGATCGTGCTTTTTAGATTCCAACATATTGATAAAATACAAAACCAGTTTTGATTTCTTTCCTACCAACATGAGCTATTCAAAAATCGAGTCACTTTCTCTTATTCAGATTGAGTAAAATGACTTAAATACCACAATATTCTCTATAATTGTAGATTCAAAGAAAGATTTAAGTTGGGAGGGATCTCTGGAGGTCATCTGTTGAGAAAGCCGGGCTCACTTCATCGTTAGGCCGGGTTGATCAGAATCCTTGTCTAGCCAAGTTATGAAAATCTTCAAGGACGGAGACTACAGTCACTGTACTCTGGCTCCAGTTCTTATTTGCTTTTACTGTGAAGAATTTTGCCTTATATCCAGTCCAAATTCCCCTGTTGCAACTTTTGCCTATTGCCACTCGTGCTTTTGTTGTGGACCTCTAAGAAAGTCTGACTTAGTCTTCTGTATAACCTTTAGGTGGTGGAAGACAGGAATTAGATCCCCTTAGCCTTCTTATCTACAGGCTAAACATACTGTTTTCTCAGCTTCTTCTTGTACATCATAATCTCACAGCTCCTTAAATGTCTTACTGGGGCTCTCTGATTGGCATTTCTACCTAATTCTTGGTCATTTATTGAGCTCAATAATGTTTCTGCAACCATGAAATCATGTTTAAATGTTTCTTGTGTTTTTTTTTTTTTTAATTAAATCATTGAATTCTCTAATTCTTTCAACTATTCCTTTATATTTTATGTTGTTCCTAGAACATCAGGAGGACTTTAAGTTACCTTGAGACATCAGCTATATTCTACATCAGAAGAATTCAGTGACAGAATAGGGCAGGACAGTAATGTACATGTAAGAACCTGGGTGCTGAAGCAATTCTATGTGAGATGTTATATGCTACTATATGTCTGTCTGTCTGACCACGGTGCCAGGGAAGATTATGGAGTAGATCATCTTGAGTGCCATTATGTGGCACATATGGGACAACCAAGTGGTCAGGACCAGTCATCATGTGTTTATGAAAAGCAGGTCCTTCTTGACCAATCTGATCTCCCTCTATGACAAGGTGACCCACTTAGTAGATGAGGGAAAGGCTGTGGATGTTGTCTAACTAGGCTTTAGTAAAGCCTTTGACACTGTTTCCCACAGCATTCTCATGAAGAAATGGGCTGCTCATGGCTTGGATGGGTGTACTCTTCACTGGTAACTGGCTGGATGGCCAGGCCCAAAGATTTGTGGTGAATGGAATTAAATCTAGTCTATGGCTGGTCACAAATGGTGTTCCCCAGGGCTCAGTAGTGAAGTCAGTTTTCATTAATATCTTTATCTATGATCTGGATGAGGGGATTGAGTGCCCCCCCCTGTAATTTTGTGGACAACATTAAGTTGGGGAGGAGTGTTGATCTGCCTAAGGGTAAAAAGGCTCTTCAGACGGACCTGGACAGGCTGGATCGATGCACCAAGGCCAACCGTGTGAGGTTCAACAAGGCCAAGTGCAGAGTTCTACACTTGGGTCACAACAACCCCCTGCAGCACTACAGTCTTAGGGACAAGTGGCTCAAAAGCTGCCTGGTGGAAAAGGACCTGGGGGTGTTGGTCACAGCCAGCTGAATATGTGCCAGCATTGTGCCCAGGTGGCCAAGAAGGCTGATGGCCTCCTGGCCTGCATCAAGAACAGTGTGGCCAGAAGGACTAAGAAAATGATTGTCTGTCAGTACTGGGCACTGGTGAGGCCACACCTCAAATACTTGTTCAGTTTTGGGCCCCTTACTATAAGAAAGACACCGAGGTGCTGGAGCATGTCCAAAGAAGGGAAACAGAGCTGGGGAAGAGTCTGGTGCACAAGTCTTGTGGGGAGCAACTGAGAGAACGGGCGGTGTTTAGCCTGGAGAGAAGGAGGCTCAGGGGAGATCTTACCACTCTCTACAGCTACCTGAAAGGAGGTTGTAGCAAGGTGGGTGTTGGTGTCTTCTCCCATTAACATGCAATAGGACAAGAGGAAATGGCCTCAGGTTGTGCCAGGGGACATTTAGATTGGATATTAGGAAAAATTTCTTCACTGAAAGGGTTGTCAAGCATTGGAATGGGCTGCCTGGGGAACTGGTTGAGTCACCATCCCTGGTGGTATTTAGAAGACATGTAGATGTGGTGCTTAGGGACATGGTTTAGTGGTGGTCTTGGCAGTGCTAGGTTAACAGTTGGACGTGATGATCTTAAAGGTCTTTTCCAGCCATTTTCCATCATTAGATTCTATGATTCTAATTTCTGACATCCGAAGTGGAGTTTTTACCCATGCTTTGACCTGAAGAGAATCCAGCTTAGCTCAAATTTCCACCAATCTTATTTGGATATGACCACAACATTAAAGTCACTGCTTCCTTTGGCTCACTCTCCAGCTTTTATTCTTCTAATAGTTTTCCTCATTTTAACAGACCCCAAGATGACCGTAGTCCACTGCCAAACTGACTAGTGAGATTTAGAGGAAGACTGTGTCCATGCCTATGGTTTTGAGTACTGAGAAAGGACAAAAGGTAGAGAGGCAATTTTTAGGTTCCAGAAATCTTGGTTTGTGTTTGTAATGAACCTTTCAGAAAACTTCTTGTAAAGTGTTTTTATATCTCAAAAAAGTGTATAGAGAATGGACAAAGGAGATTTTATAATAAGAAGAATAGTACTTGTGCCACTAGAATATTGTATTTATCTGGTGTGGATATTTGCAAATAAAAACAAAGCTACTAAAATAAAGTTATTTAGCCCAAGTTATTCAGACAATTCAGATGAAGATACAGCTTGACTTTTAGTCAACTACGTTCTCATATCTGTCTTGCTATTTCTTTCTTTTCTCTCTCTCTCTCTTTATTTGCCTTCTAAAAAGAAAGCTGGTATTTCTGGAAGACGAAAAGTCAGAGTTTATAACTTTATGTTAGATTGAACTCGGAGGAAAGAAGTGATGATGCCAATACGATGGTTAACAGATGAACTTTTAGGGCAAATTTATATTGTTCATGTGTTCCCAGACATCTTGTTTCAAGCATATATTTTTACCTTAGAGTTACTGAGACATCTGGTAAGTACTTTGGCTATTTTCTGTGTAACTTGAATTAAAGTGTATCTTTGCCAGATGGAAAATAATGGTTATTATATACACAAGAGCATGTTTTAAATTCATTTATTCTGGTGGATTATTTTGAGGGGTTTGTTTGGGTTTGGTTTTTTTTTTTGTGCAAACTATTAACTTAATACAACTGTAGAGAAAAAGACAAATTACACTGTTTTTTAAAACATTTTGGGTGTACATACATTATATAAATCTATATGATATAGTTAGATGCTTTTTGTCAAAATTGTATGTACACTAGACACTCTAGCACACCCAGCAATATTTATATTGAGTTTTATTGCTATTGATTTGTTTTCTTTAAAAAATGACATAAAACATAGATACTATTAAGTAGTTATTTTATTTATGACTCTAGGAAGCTATTGATTTTTAACATAACATTTTTTAAGACCAAAAAATTGCTAGGTAGTATATTTCTGCCTTTATTACAAGCATTTTACAGATCTGTAACACTATGGAAAACATTAAGGAATACCAAGAATTCCATTAAAGGTTAGGAGGGTAACAATGAGAAGAAAGATGCTGGAGAGAGAATAAAGCAAACTTTATCACAATAAGAAATTAATTTAGTTCAGTGAAATAACTCACCCACCCACAATTGACACTTTCTCAGAAACTTCCTTTTACCTATAAAATATCTTCAGTTATCCAAAAAGAGAGACTTACAGTCTAACACTTCTATCTTTTCTGTTTATTGGCAAGGCCTGTACAACAATTTTAAACATATTTGCAGGATGTTTGCAAGATTAGTGTTCAATCTGTACACTATTTGGAGGGCAGTTAAAATCTGGGCCTGGATTCTAGGACCTTTTCTGTAGAATGAGATGATGATCCCTGCTGAGGATAAAAAAAAGTACCTATCCTCTGGCCAGAGGATCAGCCCTTCAGTTTTCAGTATTTAACATCCTAATTTTGCATTATGTATATATATTCCCTCCTGCTTTAAATGTGGTAGCATTATTAACACATTAACACCCAGTTCTTTGATGGTTTTGGTGTGATTCTAGTGACTTTTCATTTGAAGCAGGTCTTGACTGAAAAATGTTATTGACTTTGCCATAGGACAGTGTTCTAAACAAGTTAAAATGAAAATGTGGTGCTTATTACTTGTGTTCCTGCACACGTGGTTTATGGAAAAGCTGTTTTGTTCTGATAGGTCTGTGGTAACTGAGCCCTGAGGGACTGAGCTTGTCTTCTTTGGCTGAGGCCCAACACAGTTCACCCAGTCTTTCTGTTTTGTCTGAAAAACTCTGTTCCCTTATGTTTCTTATGATTTCCACATCTCCGTTTACCTCATTTCCCATTGCCTTCCTCTCGTGGTGAAACAGTTTGACAGTCACGTGCACGGGCAGGTGCTGTGTGAGGAATCACGACCCCACGTGTGGGAGCGACATGCACAGACTTCAGAGGATCCCACCTTCATCTGAATCATCTGGCTCTAAACTAATCAAGGACTACAGGTCAACCTTGGAAAGTTGCCAAGAAAGTCAGAGGATCTAGTTATTTACTTTTGCCATCCAGGGATGTGGCAGCTCTTGCTCTAGCACATACCCACCTGCGCTGATGCAGTCGTGGTGAAGCTGTGACAGGTTTTTGTTGTTCAGTCCCATAATGCTGGACCTGGCATGTAAAAGCCACTTTCCTTTTGCACGCAATGTTGTGAATACTTCTTGGACAGAATACAGGGCTCACAAATAGTGAGCTGTAGTTACGGACCTTGTGTTGTTTCATGAGTGAAAATTGCATGGAATAATACCTCCAATATCTTTGGTTTTACCTGGAATTCAGATATCTACTCTTTATAACCTGCAAGATTTTCTGCTCTCTTCATCCCTTATGCTAGAAGATAGTTTTCACTGCCCGCAGAACTGTCTTACGTGGCATCAGTATGGAGTGCTTTCTCAGTGGCATCAGCAACATATTTCCAGAATACGAATTTGAAACAACATGGATTTTGGGGAAACTTGCTGTACACAGAAGCACTGGACTAGAAAGGATCTCTTAGCTCAGCAAGTCTAGTCCCCTGCTGTCCTATAATCTTCTCCTATAAACTTACTATACTCTTCCTTACAAGTGACTAAGATTTTTCCTCTTTATTCTTTTTGGAAGACTGTTTCAGGACCCCATTCCTTTGGTTGTGAGAAAGTTTCATCATATTTCAAGCCACACTGTATTTATGAGTAGTTTTTACTTTTATACCCAATTATGTTACGTATCTCTCCTTTCCTTGATTTTCATTCTCCTGCAGCCTCTCTTTTGCAAGACTAAACAAGGCAAATGTTTATTCTCCTTCAGTCTTCATTATTAAAAAAAAATTTTTAAGTTCTCCTTATGGTCCTGGTAAATCTGTTTTGAACGTGGTCCAAGCTCATCTTTTCTGAACAAGGTGTCCAGGATTGTGTGCTGTGTTTCAGAGCGCATCTTACCCATAATTTGTAAAATGTCACAAATACCCTTTCTTTAGAGTATACCTTGACTCGTGTATCTTAGGCTTTGTGTCCACAGACAAGGAGATAGGCGGTGAAAGTCCATCTACATATGTCAATGGGAAGCTTCATACTGACTTCACTGTGGTCGTGGTTATTCTCAACATTATTTTTGAAACAACAAAGCTGTTAATTTATTCCACTTTGATATTTAGAAGATTTCACAAAAAGTATTCTGAAAATTAATGGATTTGGGTAGCAAGAAGTGTTAGGTTGCAAAGTGAACCATTGGTCTTTCACCAGGTTGGTACAAGTGAAACTGAGCTTCTAATTTCTTTTTTGAAGTTCAAACACATGAATGTAGCTTTCAAAACTCATCAGGATTCTCAGAATTCCTGAGCACCACTGACTAAAACAAAAAATTGGGTGAAGGATTTATTTGTAAAGAGCAAAAACTAAAAAAATATGTCTGTTGACAGTAAAAGTTTATAAAAATCTACAGACATTCCATCTTCAAAATCTGCAATTACATCTCTGATGAGATGTAGACTAGGTAGACAATTATCTGAGAAATGTGAAAGTGATTGCATTATATTAAAGATATGAAAATCATCTCTTGGGAGAAATGGTAGTACCTGCTGCTACACTTATACCAGTATATGAAAGTTAGATGCTAAAGGAAAAGTGTGTAAATTAAAAACATGAACTATGTCTTGTAAGTGAACTCTTGTGTAAAACTTTAATTGCTCTTATGATGCTATTACACTTGATACATTGATAAAATCACTTCTGAAGCTTGATTGTGTACTATCCCACAACTAATGCTGCTACAGAGAGTGTGAAACAGAAGTGGCTTGTGTTCATTTTGCAGAACTTCACACAGCTACTCAGAATACAAAGTAGTGAAGCTCCACTGAAGCTTGGTTTTACCCATTTGTCTAAGTTGCACGTATTTTTTTTGATGTAATTTCAGTCTAATTTTTATTTGCAGTTTTTCACCTTTGAACAATACAAGAAGCTGCTAGGATATGCATCATTGCCACCAGGACTGGTATGTATGGATACAGAAATTCATGTTCTAATTTAATATGTGTATACTGAACAGTCCCATCCATTTCCTCCCATAGAAGGAGCCCAAAACCAAACAGGACAGTTTAACCAACAGTTTTTCGTAAAAGACTTGTCCCTTGAAAACACTGATAACAGAATTTATCAAAACTATAATTATGTTAATTTTTATATCTAATGTCTTCAAAATAATTCCTTACAATGTCATAACATTTGTTAACAAGGATAGCAACAGTCACCAAGGAAGAATCTGCATGCAGGATGTTATTCTTCATTCTTGCAAAATAACAAAAAAAAAGGTTGAACATTATCAATTTTTAATTTTTCATGTGATAGTGACTGGAGAGCTCAACCACGTGTCAAATTGCTGTTCTGCAAGTCACAGTGTAACTATAACAAAAATATAGACCTCAGTCTTATTCTAAAGACTGTAACAGAAGCATAAACTATTGATAGGAAACTGCTGCCTCCTTTGAAGTCAATGGCAAAACTCCCTCGTACATCAGTGATGTCAGGAGTTCGTATCAAGAACACAACCTTTAAAAATAAAATACAGTATGTACATACACACACACAAAAAGGTTGTAATGCTAAAAAGTAGCTTATGTACATTGTCTGCACTTTCATATATAGAGCTTAATTCTGCTCTCATATACCATTTGGAATAAAAAACTTCGTAAGAATTGCTGCTTTATGTGGTGTAAGAATGCAAGTAGTAGTAAATATTTTTTTTTTCACAATAATGGCATCACAACTGTAAGAAACAATAGATATCTTTATGGTTAGGCTATAAAAGTTTTGGTAATGAAGGATTCCCAGTACTGATTGTGATAATATTTTCAGAAAAATCTTGAAAAAGGGTTCACATAACTTCCGTGGGAGATGCTGGCCAGTTTACCCCAAATCATAAGGATTTGTTTATAGGTCATTTTTAACTAGCAAGTTGTTTCTTTCTTGAAAATTTTGAGTAAGTTCTCATTTAATAGTTCTACTTCAATCTGTTGCTTCCTTCCAGTTTATTTATTTTGGCATTTGTTAAACATTTTCTTTTCTCATGAATTTTTCTTATAATTATCAATGTATCACAACATTAAATAAGGCTAAAAATTATCTGGAATTATCTGCAAGAGGGTAAATACCCTCTTTTTTTGTTAAATGACAAACAATAAAATCATGAACACCTGTATTAGAGTTTTCTTGGTCAAATGAGTTTCAAATTGGAATTTGTTTTATAGTTGTGGCTCTCAAGAGAAAAGTATGTGATAACTGAAAGAAATAATTAAAATCTTGTTCTCTTGAGCGCAAATAACTCTCAGCCCCATGTGAACCAAAATTCCTTTTTTCCGGTGCTGCATAACTGCATTCATATTTGTGTTTTTATTCAGACTCCACCCAAAGATAACATGAGGGCATTGTTTTTACATGTTTCCATAATAAATTGGTACCACAATTTTTCTTCCAGCTGAAAAGAGAATTCATTGACAGTGATATGGCATTTGATTTTGTATTTTTGGAATGTGGTTTATGGCTACCATCATATTGTCTTCATGAACTGTCAGCATATAATCGAGGGCTAAACTTTAGTAATAGGATACTAAATAGCATTTCTGTAATCTTGCAATTTGCATTGTATCATTGAGTTACATAATCTGATGTATGGGTAATTTTATTCCTTAATTTTTAACTTTAATTTTCACTTTCCTAGGCATTTGCTGTTGCTGGCTTGGGATCTGGGTTGACAGAGGCAGTTGTGGTTAACCCTTTTGAAGTAGTAAAGGTTACCTTACAAACAAATCGGAATGCTTTCACAGAGGTATGAGAATTGCTCTGTTCTTATTTTTCTGCTTTATTAGGCATAATGCATTTCAAAGTTCATATTCAGAGCAGAATGTCTATAATATACTGAGTTGATGCAAACGATTTTCCTACAAGCTTAACAGAAATGGAAAAAGAGAGAGGAGATGCAATAGATGATGCCTTCAGAGATGGTTACAGTCTGGTCAGCGGTGTCAGCATCTCCAGTGTAAATATTCTGTGCCTGAAATGCACCTTCATCCCTCCAGAACTGTGAGGAATTGTAATCTGGAAGTACGAACTTTAATCCCTTGTACACATTTGCCCCAGCAGGATCCAGACTTCATGTGAACACCGAAGGTTAGGGTAAAGCCCCACAGCCCCATGCCCTAACCAGGGTCCAGCTGTGTATTATGTGTTATGTTAAAGTTGTAGCTGGTAGATTTCAGAGTCTTGGATTAAATTACTTATATTATAGGTCTTTACATTTATAAGCACAAACAGGGAAATAGTTATATAATAAAGCACACAGATAATTTAGATTCCTGTTTCACTTCAGAGTTTTATGATTCAAGTATTGTTTTGTTCAAAGAAGTCAGGATGCAAAACCGACTTTGTCCACGGTTCTGGGTACTGCTGAAAGAGGAAAAAGATTAAGCTGGAAAACAGTGATTCATCAAAATCAACAGTTCCCAGGAATGTACCAACTTCAAGTAATTTTAATGTAGAAAATATTCCAGGCTGGAGTGAAGGCAGGTAGTCGCACAGTTCATTCTTTCTTTTCTCAGCGACTAAGACTAACAATTGTCAAACCAGGTCTTTCAAAATCTTTTGAGAAATAGCTGTATCATAGTAGAAGTGCCAAATCACATAAGCATGGCATGAAAAGGTTGTCTGAATCACTGGCGAGACAAGATTTTTGCATATTCTACTACTGTGTTTTGACTGAGTTCATACTTGCATGCCTTGTAGCACTCATCTGCACAAACTGACCGCTGCTGGGGCATGCACAGTAAAGAGGTTTCTCACCTGGCCATTTACATAAGCTGTTTGTGCCAAGTTTCTCAGGTACCCTCTGGCAAAACTACCACTGATATAAAAATACTGCCACTGATTTCCAAATGTCAGACTGGATGGTACCTACTCCATACCTTATCCAGAGAAGCATTTTCGTTCAGAATAAAACTTAAAATGTTTTGTAAATTTCTGTTCAACTCTCAATGCACACAAAAAAGATGTTTGGTTGCTCCAAGTTTCCATCCAGCCTAGACATTTTTTAACCATGGGCAGCAAAGCCACTGAAACAGAGAGCTAATACACTACAGGAGTAAAAAGGTCAGGATCCTGGAAGGAGAGAGACTGAAAGTGGGAGAAAGCAATGTGTGAGAGGATATATCTCTCAGGAAGATGATATGAAAAAATTACTGCTCCAGCAGTACTAAATTAAGCAGGTATTCTGGATCTTTCTGCCTCTAAGTTGTGAAGATAAAGCCACCTATCTTAATAAAATCTCTGGGTTTGAGTGTAAATACACCAGTATTATATTTTGAGGAAGCTAGTTCCTGTGAAGTTGTAAGAGACCAGTGTTCATACTTAGTAATTTTGTTCTCTATTGCAAACTTTATAACAAAGTCTGGGGTGTTTTAGTAAATTTTACGCAATTACTTACTTTAATTACAGCATCCCTTCCTTGGTAACATTTGGAATTCCAGTAATCAAAGTGTAGCTGTTCAAAAGCATTCTGAGTTGCTTTGTTTTAGGTGAATTGAATTTGAATTTGATTTAAATGCAAATTTTCACAAAATAATAATATATTATCACAGAAACAAAATTATAGAAGAATGTTATTGGGACACCACTAGGAACCTAGTTTACACCTAAAATATAAATATAAGTGTCTCTTTGCCCTAATGAAAGAACCCAAAGGACTGAAGTTCTTAAATCACAAAGATAATTAAATCACCGACATATCAATTTTTAATATATATATTTTTTAAGCATTAGACTTTCACATTTTGCTGTAAATCAGAACTTCAGTGACTACATTACCATGATTTCAAGTTCTCATTGATAATATGTTAAAGAACATTCCACACCAAAGCATGTAAACTCAAGCCTATAGGGAGGAGTGTGCGCATGTTACACAGCGTAAGGCAATGGTACATTCATTTCATTACCATGCACTGTTTTTCTAAGTGGTTTAGGTAAAGTATGTACCTATCCCATGGTGTAGCTTTCATGCTGTATGATGAAACCTAATGCAGTTCACATATTTCTTTGACTATTGTATTGAAATAATAAATATCTTGTTTAAAAGGAACAAGGAAGAGCATTAACACATACACCCACACCCAGACTCCCACACACCCCCAAAGCAAATATTCACACACTACAGTGACAGCTGAAATATTCTGTGGTACCAGATCATCTTTCTAGGGCTGACAGGTTTAAAGAGGAAGGCCACCATAAATCATGTATTGTCATCTTTGTAATGTGGATTGCTACAGGTGAAAATAACGGTGACATTTTGTTAAGGTAAACTGCTAGAAGGCCTAACACCTTGTTGTTTGTTGGGTTTTTGGTTTTAGGTTTTTTTTTTTCACCTGTAGCCATGGATAACTCACTGAATATAGAAGTTGGTGTGGTAATAAAAATCTCACCTGACTTAAGAGTTGTGATTAATTAAACAAATACAAGTTTCTGCTCTATGATGAGAAAAATCTGATTCCAGATGCCACTGACTAGGTCTCCATTAAGTATAAGTCAACACTGTGTGAAGTGAATTAAACGCCAGGTGTTTATACAATACATTCCTCCATCTGAATTAATCACCCTAAGGTCCTTCCATCACCAGTGATGAAACACAGACCTTTTATGGCTTGATCTGCTAACATTTTGGATGCCTACTTTGGATGAAGTGTTGTCTAGGAGAGCCCTCTTTATTGCTAAAGGACTGAAAAAGTGAGTCTTTTTGAGTACCTCAGATGTAGATGTAGACATTGCAGGTACATTTGGACTGACAAATCCCATCTCAGGTGTTCAGCAAGTAAAAGGTTTCCCCTCTGAGTCGTTAGTAAATCCATATTCAAGTTGAGCCCAAGGGATACCTTAATATTGAAAGTTGCTGTATTCAACATAAAGCACTATATTCAGGAACTCTAGTTTGTTTGTTTGGTTGGTTTTTTGGTGGATAAGAAGGGATGTTATTGCTAGTATCTGGTCCATATTCCATGTTGGGAATTTAGAAGAGATTCTGATTTGAATCTCTAGGGATACTTAGAAAAGTAAACTATAGTAAAATGCATATAGAGCATTAACAGGATAATATTAGTTACCCAATATGAAAAAACAGAATGAAACTTAGTATTAAAGACTAAACTTGTCAGTCACCTAAATAAGCAGTCAGATATAATAGGCATCATTTGGCTGAAGCTGTTGATCTACCATAGTGATATTTTGAAATGGAAAGCTATTAAACAAATAAGTGTATTGAAATTAGCTGTGTTCACAGCGTTGTAGTCAAAATTCTTCTATATTTTCATGTTTGAACCTCCTAGTGGAAATCATGTTTTGCCTTTCTAATGAAATATTTGGTTACCCAGAGCTGACTTTATGCTTTGGAGAAAACCAGACTCAAATCAACAACTTTTTGAAAGGAACTTTTTTCTAAATCTTATAAAAAGAAATCTAAAATGTTCAGAAGGGGAACACCTGATTGTGAGTATCACAGTATATTGGAAAATAGATCACATGTGTATGTAGTCAGGCACATCCTGCCTGAGGAACTCAACATTCTATAATTGGATTCTGAAGAAGTTTCTTCCTTTCTGCCTCTTCTTAAATGGGAGTTGGCTGGCTAAATGGTTTCTATGCCTCTTGGACATTATTTTCAAGACAAGATTTCTAAAGTCACTTTCCTAAATCTGTACCTTGGAATTTAATTGGGTGTTCCAGTTTTCAAAATATAGCTACACTTTTTAAGTCAAATAATTCATTACGAGGGCAAAAGAGGATTTCCAGTTGGATGCTTAAGAAAAAAAAAAAAACCAAACACACACCTTCATTTCAAGATTTTCAACAGTGGAAGAGGAAAGTTTAACATGTAATCTGGTTTTAAAAAGTACTGCGTACCCAATAACTCCTTCAAAAGTCAATGTCTTAAAGCAGCAGTTTGCATTCTTAACAGCATGAAGAGCCTCAGAGGATCCAGAAGGGTTCCTAGGCAATATATATGCCTTTGTCACCTTTCGATCTTGTTCCTGACATTGAATCTGGAAACTGCTAAACTGATCTTCAACACAAATATTTATGGCCTCTCTTGCTGCTCTAATTTGTGGCTCTCAAGGACTTGTTCCCTAACCATAATGGCTCAAAAATTTCCTGTTCCAATTGTGTCCCTTTCAGCACTCCTTCACCATGCAGGTTCCTGTGCCATTTGCTTTATTAGAGAAGCAGTTTTTATCTTCTTATTGTCCAGAATAATTGTTATATACTCTAGTTGTCTAAGGGTTTCATATGTCATAATCCCAATAGCACAACATCAGTGTTAAAAAACTCTTGCCAAATTCACATATTCAAAACCTCATAATCCTCTATAAAATCTTTTTTTTAATTATTATTATTATTATCTTAAGACCTTTTCCTTTGCTTTAGTGATCATTAGTCTTTTATATCACTCAAATCATGCTTTCATATTTTTTTTCTACAATCAGAAAAATGAGGAAAAAATTTTTTTTCAATGAAAGTTGTGAATTTTTACATGATCACAGGAAAGGAAAATAACAAATATGGTGAGACTCTAAGGTAAAACAACAAGAATTGGCAACACTGTTTGTCAACAGGATTGAAATGATGCTGTGGTTATTGTTTTCTTTTTGTAAAGATGATCTCTTCCTTCTTTTGTTTAATTTGTGTAGCAACCATCTAGCTTTGTTCAAGCTCGGCAGATCATTAAAACCGATGGTTTGGGCTTCCAAGGACTCAACAAAGGTCTTACTGCAACACTAGGCCGTCATGGAGTTTTTAACATGGTTTACTTTGGATTCTACTTCAATGTGAAAAACATTCTTCCAGTCAATAAAGTAAGTTCTTCATACAGTGCAATAGACAAACAGATAGGAGGTTTGGTTATTTAATTAACACTGTATTTTTCTGTGCAAAATTGTGGTATTGAGTAATAAATAGTGACTAACCTAGCTCTCTGTTTTGCAGAAATCTATAACATTTTAATGGAAACAAAACAAAGATTTCTACTTCTCACTTTTTAAGCAAAGCTGAGTTAAACAAAGTAGTCATGTTTGAATTCTCATTTTTATGAATTTCCCTTTGTATCATGGTAGCAATGTAAAAAGGCAGAAATCAGGATACAGGTATGTTACACTTACGTTAGGAATGTATGCACTTTCTGTGGTAAACTGGTGCAGAAGAGGAAAATCTGTTTCTAGATCTTTTTTCAGAATTCACAAAGCAAGGGGCAAAGCGTGAGGAGATGGCAGAGCTGCAGTATGTAGAATATTCTGGCCACGTACCAGGCCTATTTACTCAAGAGAGCAATCTAGTGTTGTAGGACAACAGGGCAGATTTATCCATATGGGATGGAGCCAGCCCAAAACTGGATTTACAGTGTCATGCAGAGGGGCTTATGTAGTTTGGAAGTTAAAAAATAAAAAGAATTTTTATAGCTGTAGTTTCACTTGAAACAAATTTATTTCATTGTCTTATACTCCTTTACATAACAAAGAAAACATTTCCCTTTACAACAAAGGGAAATTTTACTAATGAAATCGTGGTAATACTGGCAACTTTCTAAATGACTCCGTGAGCAGCAGCTAATGGTTTATTAATGACTCCAGTGCGTTACTTTCTGAACTGTGTTTTCACTAATGTGATTTTTAGATGATGACAGTTAAACAGTCACAGGTGTAATATGTAGTGATATTCATATAAGAAGCTGCAATTTACATCAAAAGGGATCAGTTTCTATTCCCAGATGAAATAACACCTCTTTTTTTCTGCACTTCTGAGTAGCCTGGTATTTTTGTTGGCAACATTGTATAAATGGAGAAAAGCTCCACTTCTTATTTGCAGATATTACAGTAAATCGAATTGTTCCAGAGCAGCTAACCCGCAAGTTTCGGCAAGTTTCTTTTAGTGTATTTAAGAATACTTTACAATGTACTTTAATCACACATTCTAAAAACTCAAGGCACATGCATAACTTGATACTAAGGTAGAAGTAAACACATTCATGTTGATCAAAAGATGAAAAAATTATAATTACTGTGTAGAACATTCACAGTCATGTGCAGGTAAGGACAAAGAGGCTGGTGTGTAACTTCTATGGAAATCGTGTTCTTCTATAGCAATTGAAGAATAGTAATAATATTTGGCATAAGCATGCTTTCCAGCTTTTCAGATTTAAAAAAAAAAAAAAAGTGGGAAAAATATTGCATGATTAAAAAGATTCAGAGCTTGATGATCTGAGATAAATCAGCACTTTTTACAGATTCTGTGTGATGCATAGAATTGCTAGAATCTACCACATAGATTTAAATACATCTAGAAAACAAGAGAAATTAGTTCAGTAGTGTCAGCCAGAGGCCCATCTGTCTTGTACATACTGTCAAAAGCAGAAGACAATTTAATCAATGTAGGATTAGATTGCGTTAACTGCAGATTAGAGAGGTTCGCCTTGTGCTCGAGCAGTGCAAAGTGGCTTGCACAGTGGCTACATGTGTGCTAGTAAATTGAGCAGCGTCACTGAAACCCAGTCATCTGTGCAGTTAAATGTTCCCTGGCACAGCTTTGGCCCAGGCCAGCCAACACTGTTCCTGGGTACGGCTTAGGAGCTAGCGCAGACAAGGAACCATTCCTAATAAGTAGGTTTCATGCAGCCAGTCAGTTTTGAATGGTAATAGCATTTAATAGCGCTAATAAAGTTAGTAGGGCACTCTAGTCCAGCTGGCATCAGTGCCATAGACAATTCTGTGCATACAGATACAGCCAGCCAGTAATTCTGATCAAACTCCCATTAAAGTCAATGCAAATCTTACCCTGAATTTAACAGGGTTCAGATCAGACCTCATCTGGCTTGTGCTAGCCAGTGGTATGTCTCAGGTATTTACATGCACTGAGCTTCACTTCAGTGACTAGAAAACAAAAGTACTCAACAATACTTTGTAATATATAAATTGAGCCTTTTCTGTCAGTTGGCAGGTACTAGAAGCAAAGAGATATCAAACCTGTAGAAGGATTTTGATAGAATCTGTTTTGCAGTTAGACTGAAAAATACTGGGCAGTTGTAACTTTTCAAGGCTTCTCACAAACTTGATTTCATCACAAACCCTAATTTGTTCACTTTGTATATTTTGCCAGAAAAGAAAATCTGAAAGTCAGTCTTGTGATATTGACAAACATATAAAAATTTTGAAATAAGAATACTAGACTTTTGAAATAATTTTGGCTCTTGACTATGTATCTGCTGTTCACCATCTGCAACCTAAGTGGAAAAATGTATGGAAATGTCCGTATGAGCCTTTTAGCTGTCAACAGTGCTAAACTGTGCATTAAATTTGCATCCCAATTAAGGATGTTTGCAGCTTATTTTGCCAAAAACAATAAACCTTTTATGTTGAGCGGTCAAATGATATAAATGACATGTGTGGGTTGTAAATGTTCGTAATGAATAATTTTTCATATGTTCAGCCTGTTCTGCTAAACAGACCATTTACAGCCGACCTCATGCTCTGTTTACTGAAAATGGAGTAAGTCAGACTTGTTTCAATTGCCACTAATGTATCAACCATAGAACATTAACAGCTATGCATCTGCACTAGCAATCAAATTAGTCTGCAAATTTATATCGTCTCAGTTTTATGGCACCTGCTTTTATAGCACATTTCATAGGCTTCCAGCAGCTCTCGCTTTTCAATTTTTTATCATGGTTGGGTTTGATGGTAAACATTAGTTTCATTAAAACCTTTGCTCACTACCACCTCCAAGTGGCTGTCCTATTTCTTAACGTTATGAAATTTCCTTACTGTCTGTTAAAAACCCCCTTGGAAACGTGGCCTACTGCAAAACTCATTTCAAATCAGGCACTGCTGGCCCCAGCTGCCACAGATGTACCTGCCTGTTGTTAAAAGTGCTGCTGCATCAGGCAGTGGGGGCTGAGCAGCGTGTTGTTTTCTCAGAGACAGGGCCCTAAACATCTATAGGCAAAGAAGAGGAGATGGGAAACCAGAGTGGGCTGTTTAGCTTAGCAAATAGGTAAGATAGTAGACTACAATTTTATCTGTAGTTGTTTTCAGATCCGTGTCAACATAGGAGTGATAGGTAGGAATAGACAGTGAAAAGGACACATAGTGCAACACAGTTGAAAAAATAGTAAACCAAGATTATTTATGAGAAGGCTGGATCAGAGTGCAAAATAGAATAACCTCAGAGCTACCATCCAAGCTCAGGTTTCAGGATGACTGGGGAAGTGAGGAAAAAAAAAAGGCAGTGCTGTATCCAGTACGATGTTACAAACCACCCATTGATTAGTATTCTCCAATCCAAGCTGTCCTGTCGCTGTGGAAACCACAGCCTCTGTTGTTTAAAGGCTTCAGCCCAGGCCACCATCACCAAAAGATGCTGTATCAAAGGAGGAGAGTCTGTTGCTACATCAACTGCTCCTGTACTGTGGCATTCCTATAGGCAAGACAGATATTAATTTTCAGGAGAAGAATCTTCAGTTAAAATAAAAAGCTGAAGAAGAAAAAACAAGCTTCTGCTGTTTTCCTACAGAAATTAGAATAATGCTGAAACCGATAACCAGGTTCTACAATAGCTGACAGAGAGGACAACTTAAAATAGCTAAGTTCTTACAAGACATTCAAACAATCATTAAAAAGAAGAAGACATCCTGTAAGTGCATCTCATGAGTTCGTCAGGTGAGAGAAATTTTTAGAGGGAACTTATGCCTTATTAAATACTGAATTCCATGGGAAAAGCCCATATAAGCCTTAATCTGAGCTTGCACCTTTCCAGACACTGGTATCAATCAGTCACAAGAACATCAAACTTCCTTAGTTCTGGTATTCATAGGGCTACACTTTTTTTTCTGTTTCATACATTATTGTATAGCTGAGACTGAAGATGGATAGGGCAGATGAAGTTACTGGATGCAGGGTTAAGCAATAAAATATCCATTGCTGGGTGCCCTTTCCTGCATAGTTAGTGTCTAAAGGATGCCACAGAAATGTGACCTGCTTGGAACCCCAACACTTTATGAACAGTCTGGTCATCTGGGTAGACCAACTCTGTGTGGGAGAGCTGAGTCTTCAGAGTTATGCACATTTTGTATTCTGTGACCACATTTTTTGTTGTCTCCTGTTTTTTTATTTACATCAAAAGTTCTTTGGTGCAGATATTTGTTTTAGGACTAAATGAAGTCAAATCCTAGCTTTGCCTTATGGCTCCATAAGGTTATATCAGAAGAGTAAATAATAGGTAATAGTGCTAGTTATAAATCTGGATGAAGATTAATAATTTTATCAGCAAACTGTATTGTGAGAAAAATAAATCCCTGAGAGGATTGAAGACTGTTTGAAAATGTATACCTTGTACAGCAGACAGCCATGTAACTCTGGAGACTAGCCAGGACATTTGTCCTAGTGGCTGTCATTCACTTTCTTATGCTGTCAGACATCTGTCAGGTGGATCTTAAAAACTTAAATAAATGTCTGCTGCAATGAGATTGCACTCAAAGACGAATCTGAGACAACAGTGTGAAAAAGCTCATTCAATTCAAACAAAGTGCAGCTGTGACTATGCATATTGGAATGCCTTTTCTGGCCATCAATATGTTTATTGTAGTTATAATTTCAGCATTTCCTATGCATCTTGACGAAGATCAGGCCATCATCGTACTAACCTGACAGCAAGCTATAGTTTACAATAAGGAGTTTACCATGTGACTGTATGAGATGGACAGAAGTTCAGGGTGCATAAAGCTATGAAGTTGTTTCTTAAGCTGGGACCAATTCTTGACTAAGTCACAAACAAAAACTGTGAATATTCTGTAAAAGAATCAAAGCATGGTGTTATTACAATAGTGATGGGACTTGCTTTCACGTTTTCATTTTTAACCTTTCTGGAACCTTGCAGTCGGTCTACATCATTTTTCTCCTCCTTACTGCTGATTTCTGCTGGGAGTTTACATGCCTCCAAACTATCTGATCACATTTGTACCTGCCTCTCCCTCTCTAAGGCAG